ACTTTCTGGAAGTTGTGCATTTTGCAGTTTTTAACAGTTGATTTCCACGGTGGTCATGTACTAATCTTTGGGAGGAAAAGGTCTAGAACGAAAGAAAGCAGTGTAAGAATAAATAAAAACCTGAAGCCTAGTGTTGTTCAGTCGCACAGTCGAGTCAGACTCTTTGCGACCCCATGGCCCAGATCACGCCAGGCCTTCCGGTCTTCCGCCGTCCTCTGAAGTTGGCTCAATTTCATGTTCGTTGCATCTATGACACTGTCGAACCATCTCATCCTTTGCCGTCCCCATCTTCTTTGACCTTCAATCTTTCCCAGCATCAGGGTCTTCTCCAGTGAGTGCTCCCTTCTCATTTGGTGGCCAAAGTATTTGAGCTTCAGTTTCATTATCTGGCCTTCCAGGGAACAGTCAGGGTTGATTTCTTTTAGGATTGACTGATCTGATCTTCTTGCAGTCCAAGGGACTCTCAAGAGTCTTCTCCAGCACCATAGTTCAAAAGAATCTATTCTTCGGCGCTCGGCCTTCCTTATAGTCCAACTCTCGCAGCCATACATGACTACTGGGAATACCATTGCTTTGACCATACTAAGCCTAGTATGCAGTCATAATTCCAAACTTGTACTCATGTTAGTCTGTTCCAGCAAAATAAAACAGACATCAAGTGACACTGTAGAGACAAACAGTATATTCCAGCATAAGGTTTTGAAAGTCAGAAAAGTTTATGCTGGAATAAATTGTATTAGTCTTTAAAATGCCACTGGACGCCTGTTTTAGATGTGCAGTGCAAGCCTATGCTTGTCTTCTTCACATAGGTCCCACTAAGTTCACATGTGTTTACTCCCAGGCAACTGCACAGGATTGCATTCTATGATCTAGACAGTTAAAAAAAAAATAAGCCCACTTGCAATAGTTTCTCCAATAAAACTTTGTTGGTCTTAAAGGTGCCACTGCACTCTAACTTTGTTCTGTTGCTTCAAATGAACACAGCTACCCACCTGAATCCAATATCACAAACATCCTGATCCTAGCAGCTCCACTGGACTGTTCTAGAAAGTTAGCAGTTTCAGTTCTATGGGTTGCCATGTATCTGCTGGGGGTGGGAGATCTCCCGTCCCCAGCAGGCCTCGTTTACCACCACTACAGTGGACGGCGGGAGAAAGGGAAAAAATGCCATTGTTGACACTATGATGTCACCTACCACCATTACAGTGGACGGCGGGAGAAAGGGGAAAATGCCATTGTTGACACTATGATGTCACTTCTGGATTTCCCCATAAGTGGCATCATACCATTGACAATGGCCATCCGCCCCACCCCCCCGGTGTCTCCACACCCCAAGTCTCCTGGATTTTGTGAGTCTCGTTTTATTGCATTTTTAGCTATTACAAATTAGAACCAGCTTTGTTTTTGAAGACAATTTCTGAATACATGTATTAGGGATTTAAAAGTACTACCTTATGTATGCAGTGGACAATTCTTAAGTTTAAAAAATGTTTAACTTTGAAAAAGTCAAACACTATTGCTTTACTGATGTGATATATGTGTATTTACTCAGATATAAACCACTGCATTCAGTGGAGTTTACATACTACTTAGTATGTGTGAATAGGACTAGAACCTTAGTTGGAAAGAAGCGTAACAGATGGCATTGAAGCTTACTTCCAAGCATGCACACGAGAACAGCACGAAAGTTACGGTAAAATATTTTCGCTTTCATTTATATCCTAAATTATTATGGAGAAAATGCTTCAAAATATTATTGAGTCCAAGCTCACTGAACAGCCCCACCCCAGGCCACAACCCATACAAGTATTTATTAAACAGTGATTTGTCACTAGATGCTAGATAACAGAAGATGGTAATATCACAGCATGACTATATTTGAGAACATATGAAAAATTTACAACTTCAATTGATATGTCTGATGGGGTGAACTCTTTCCTGGATACATTCAATCTCTCTCTGTTCATGACAAGTTTCAGATTCTGAGACATGGCTTTCTCTTTGGTATACATATGTCCTTCTTAAAAAGTATTATTACTATAGTAAACAACACTGCTCAGCTCCATAGAGAATCACTGAAATCACACGGCCTCAGCCCAGAAGGGATGTGCAAGCTGGCTTTAATAAAAGTGTTCTACTAAGGGAAAAGGCAGGTGGCTAAAAATCAACAAAAAAGGTAAATCCAGAGTACCCCATATCTGACTCTGTTCCAAGGGCTTATTCAACTTCAGGTTCTCCCCCCCCCCCCCCCCCCCTGGTGGACGGGGAGAGGGGGGAACCTGGCAACCCTACTAATGTCATGAATGCCACTACCCACCAACTGCCAGGACTTTACACTGGCTGAACACAGATGTGATTATGTAAGATAATGAATGAAGACTGGACCTTAAAAATTTGAATGTGGTGATCAATGGTAGAACATTTCAGTCTTACTGGATTTTCAATCCTAGTCTTTGGGTCATGATCCTTAACACTTCTTTTTCAAATCTGAATTTAGTAATAGATTTGGTTAATTTCTCAAATGCTTGAATGCTGTGTTTTTCTTTCTTTCTTTAAATAGTACACTATCCCCCATTTGAGAGTGTATTCCGTTTACTGCTCCTGCAGTTGGAATGTGCTTGTTAAAATTAGGTGTTGGGAAGCATATAAACACATACACATACATACATAATCTCAACAACTACACCTGCTAATGAAATGGCACACTAACCTAAATATGATGCCAATGAAATCTATGATCACTACAGAAACACTAAACTACGCTTTCTCAGGATTTCATATGCTTATATTCAGGTTCACTGATTTCCCTGTGTCATTAATACTTTCTGTTTCACCAATTTATTATTTATACCATGCTAATTGTGAACCAGACCCCCCCCCCCCCAATCTTTAGGTACTAACATCATTCTTCACCAGTCTTGCAAGAATGGGGAAAATGGTAAACATTTATAGCCAAGTTTTGTTATGTTTATGGGAAGAAACTAGGACTTACACCCTATTAAATCTACAATCTAATGCACGTTTATTTGGGAGCAAGTCTACTGGACTCAGTGGGATTTACTTTAGAATAAACGTGTTGGAGTTTACAGATACCACAGACAGCTAAAAAGACAAATGTGGATTCTAGATCAAATCAAGCCTGAACTCTCCCTAGAAGCTAAAAGAATCGGACTGAAGCGAATGTACTTCAGACACATTATGAGAAGACAAGACTCACTGGAATAGTCAGTAATGCTACAAAAAGTTGAAGGCAGCCGGAGAAGAGGAAGACACAACACAATCAAGAAAGCCAAAGCCCTCAGTTTGCAAGGCCTGAGAAAGGCTGTCAATGATAGAATGTTTTGGAGGTCATTAATTCATAGGATTGCCATAAATCAGAAGCAACTTGATGGCACTTAACACTCACACAAGGTCATCATACAAGTACTCAGCCCTATTTGCACCAGTGATGCATTTTTAGAGGTTTGAGTACCATATTTCCCATATGCTGGTTTGATACTTCAGTGCTAAATCAGAAATGCGTGCAGTCATACACACAAAAATAAATGAATATGGGTAGCCGTGTTTGTCTGTAGCAGAAGAAAAGAGTAAGAGTCCAGTAGCACCTTAAAGACTAACACAATTTGTGGTAGGGTAGGGTATGAGCTTTCATGAGTCATTGCTTACTTCTTCAGATATCCAGTATCTGAAGAAGTGAGCAGTGATAAAAGCTCACACAAAAATAAGGTATATTTTATGGAGTTTTGCATAAGATTTCTCCATGGGGAGTATGCTGGCCACATGAATTCCATAATATTCCTAACCTGGTGTCTCTCTTGCAGAACTGTATACTGAAATAGTGCAGATCAAGTCCTGGCAAAATCCACACACTGACATGCACAAGGCATGCTTTTCTGTTCTTGTATATCTGTTGAGCTTAATTAGGCTGTTCTTGCATATGGAGCTTTGAGCTAAATTGAGTTTGGTTTCAATATGAGCAATACTTGTTTCACAACTTCCCAAGGTTTGGATATAGAAGAAACTTCTCAAGTGATTAAGCTCGGAAACCCCACCCCCCCAGTTATTTAACTAGTAAAGGGGCCAGGGCATTTAGTATGATAGTTTAGGATTTATTGAAAAAGCATGGAGGAGTACTGCATTCCACTTCTCCCTCTGTATCATTTGTTTAATACGTTCATTTTTAAAAAATATGAGAAAATATCAAGTCTTTTAGCCTTCTAGTTCCCAGGAGAAAATTATAATGTTATTTATAGTCACATAATAAATAGTAAGCCTTAAACAACATTTCAAAAAGCATTCTTAAAGAAATTTGGGGAGCAATCCTAGGCAGGTCTATTCAGAAGTTAGCCTAATTTTATTTAATGGGACTCAATCCAAGAAAATTGTTTTTAGGATTGCAACCTTGGTTGGCCAGATTCAGAATTCCTACAATGCCGAATTTCTACACAGTATTTTTATATGTTAATCTCATTGTTGGTTAATCTGTACAACCAAAGCAGTCATCATTCTGCATCAGTACATGGCTTTCCAGAAGTCAGTAATAGGCAAAACAAGTTCAAGACATAATCTGGGGTGGAAGGGATGAAAACTGTCAGTCCAGCTCTACAGTCTTCATGAATATATTACTAGGGCTAGTTTGAATTTGGGTTCACTACACCTTAGTCCCTTACTTACTGTCAAGGCCAAGACTCAGGCCTGGAACATGTGAAGAATAACACACCTGAGCATGTGCAGAATGCCTTTTCTATACCACTGGATACCCATAACCAGTCCTCACAGTGTGGAATTTAGTAGCTGGGCTTCCTGCTCAAGCAAAAGGTATGCTATTCATGTAGCACTAAGTCCATAGGAACTCTAGAAATTATGCATATTATATTAAGAATGCCTATTAATTTTTTTCTTTTTAGATGTACCAGGTACCCAATTGGCCGCAAGAAAAGCCACTTGCTCCTTATAGCCCAAATCATAATAACACAGTACAAGCAAAAACATAACCATACTTAGTTTGGCTGTGCTGTCATTGCTGACTGGTTTGGGTATGAGTCCTACCAAGGCTGCAGACTTCAGAGCATTTCCATAGCTCACTGCTAAGTTTTCCGATGCTTTCTTGGCAAATGAGAAGATAGGAGCAGACCACGGAGAGTCTTCGTCCGTTCTCTCCTTGCTATCGCTTTTCAGCTCAGACGTGCTGGGGATCTGGGTCCTGTCAATGATTTCAAAGTCCTCCTTCTGCTCCGTAGCAGATACTTTGCAATTCTCCCCTTCAGCCATCTTTAACGTGTCATATGACACTAGTCAGGAGCAATCGCGTTAAGACACCAACTTCCTCTTTTGCTGTCCTGTTCCGCAATTTACAGCTCCACAGAATTGCCTTTAACGAAATCTAGTAACCGCGTGTCTTCCCTTTAAAAAAAAAGCCATCTGAACTCTTAAAACAGTCGTCTGTTTATTCTCATTTAACTTGCAGTAAACACGACTGAATTGTACGGGATTTACTTTCCAGTCAAGTCAGTTAGTCTCTAGTAGCAAAATAAAACAAAAATCCAGCGGCACTTTAAAGACTAACAATTGTGTCTTGCATAAAGGGTTGAGGGGCGGGGGTGGGGTGAGAACCAGAAGACTAGGAGTCCAAGTATCTCAAACGAGTTGAAGCGCACATTCAGGAATATGCTTAAAGAAGGGCAGACCGAGAAAGATGAGCTTTCCCTGCCATCTAGTGGGATGATTTGGAACACGACACAGCTTGTGAAAATACCTTTTATGAAAACTAGAGCAAAGGGCAGTGGATTTCACAATAAAAGATTGAAAATATGGGATGAGGTTATTGGCTTACGTGACGCCAATCGAGAACCAGTCGGTACAGTTGTGAACCGTCAGAGTCCATGCCTTTCAGGCTATTGGCTTACGTACGTGATGCCAATCGAGAAACAGTCGGTACAGCTGTGAACCGTCAGAGTCCATGCCTTTCAGCTGTAGTGTCTTCTATGGAAACCAGAACAAAAGACTGCCGCTTTATCAGCTGGTGGAGTTCAACTCATCTCATTAATCTGAATGGGAAATCGTGTCACATATCAAGCTTCAGAAATGCAATGAGGTTCTGTTTGAATTATTTATTTACAACATTTATATGCTCACCTTTTCCCTGACCAACTCAGGACCCCAAGGCTGGTAAACAACAATACTATAAAACACAATACAACTCTATACAACCACACAAATCAAAATATGAATGTAAAATACATCAAAACAATATGAAAATCTCCAATCTAAAAACACCTTATGCATAGCTAGAAAGACATTCCCTTTTGTCCAGACTTACACTGCCCCCCAAAGAACCCTGGAATAATTTTGTGCTACAGCCTTGCCAGAAAGCCAGGAAGATGTTACCCCACACGTCTCTTCCGAGAAGCTGTTTCACAAGCATTCACTGACAAAATTCAAGCTTGGGCTGTTGTAGAACATGCCCTAGACAAGAGTTCTCCAATGTGGTGCCCATGGACATCACTGCCCCTGCCAACACCTTTCCAGGTGCCCACCAAGTGTTTTTAGAAAGTGCGATAGGCCAGGTGGGGCTTTTGCCCAGCAAGTCTTCTTCTTCCTCTTTTGGTTTTTTTTTTTGCATTTGTGTGTGCGTGTCCGTGCCTGGAATTCATGGCAACCTCTGGCGACTCCTACTGGGGCCCGGAGGGCATTCAGAGAAGTAGCTTGATAACCCACCTCTGGCCTCCTGGCCCTGGTATTCTCTGGAGGTCTCCCATCCAAATACTTGCCAGGGTTGGCCCTGCTTAGCTTCCGAGATCTGACGAGACAGTTGCCCAGCAAGTCTTCTGATAGGTCACTGGAGATTTGATTGGCTGTGCAGACAGTAGCTGCCACTATAGCACAAGGATCTTCATTGTGTGACTGAAGGCAAGCTGCAACCAGGTCCGTGGCTACTGTGGAGCCCCCCGGGGCCTGCCCCCCGACTTCCTCCCAAGGCCCCCCAACTTTTGGGAAGAAACGGGGGGAGGCCAAGATGCAAATTTGCCCCTGCTTCTCCCCCAAAGCATTTAAAGGGACCTTTTAAATGCTTTTAAATGGAGCTGCGGTGGCTCAAGTGGTTAAGACGCTGAACTGCAGGCTGTGGAAGGTCGGTAGTTCAGCAGTTCGAGCCCCGGGTGCCGCATGACGGAGTGAGCTCCCGTCTCTAGTTCCAGCTCCTGCCAAACTAGCAGTTCGAAAGCAAGAAATTGCAAGTAGATAAATAGGTACCACTTCAGTGGGAAGGTAACAGCATTCCGTGCGCCTTGGTGTTTAGTCATGCTGGCCACATGACCATGGAAACGTCTTTGGACAGCGCTGGCTCTTTGGCTTTGAAACGGAGATGAGCACTGCAACCCTAGAGTCGGATTCGACTGGCTTTCGAGCAAGGGAACATTTATCTTTACCTTTAAATGCTTTGAGGGAGAAGTGAAGGCTGCACACGAATTTCAGTGCCCTCTGACTTTTTAAAAGGCCCTCCAAATTTAAAAATCCGGGCTGCAACTATTTTGTGGCTTGCTCTGTGTCCTTTGGCAGCCATTTTATGGCTGCACACACCACACCATGTCAGAATTCCAAAGATGTTTACAGGCTCAAAAAGGTTGGGAACCCCTGCCCAAGACAAATGGAGCACAGAAACAGACTTGAGTAAGGCCAGACATTTGTATTACTACTCATGGTTTTAATGAAAAAAGCCTACTAAAATTGTTTTCTTTGGAGCAAGATTTCTTCACACAAGTCTCTGATGACACGTATCTATATCCTTTGTTTCCTATCATCAATAGATGACAGATGAAAGAAGTCAGTTCCACTGCATTCAAGCAACATCAAGAAGTGGCATCCAAGGCTAACATAGAAACAAGGGCTGGCTTGGTTGTCAGCAATTTCTATTTAATTCTATGGGGTGAAGTAAGCAGGTTGCAATTTTGGACAAAATCCATTCTTCACCACAGACATTAGTGTCACCATGGGAAGGAAGCAAATTTAACTATCTGAATAGATTCAGGTGGGTGGCCGTGTTGGTCTGAAGCAGCAGAACAAAGTTTGAGTCCAGTGGCACCTTTAAGACCAACAAAGTTTTATTCAAGGTATAAGCTTTTGTGTGCAAGCACACTTCTTCAGATACAGTGAAACAGAATTTCCTCAGCCATTACATATAGGAAGAGAGGGGGGGGTTAGTTGCCAGGACGGGCCAATTAGAGTCAATTAGAGTCAAGATAGAGACAGAAAAAAATGGACTGGTAATCTCCATTTTTGTTTCTGTCTCTGTCTTGACTCTAATTGGCCCTTCCTGGCAACTAACCCCCCCCTCTCTTCCTATATGTAATGGCTGAGGAAATTCTGTTTCACTGTATCTGAAGAAGTGTGCTTGCACACAAAAGCTTATACCTTGAATAAAACTTTGTTGGTCTTAAAGGTGCCACTGGACTCAAAGTTTGTTCCCTATTTGAATAGTATCCCTATTTTTACTACATATGTGAATGTCTACCATTCATTCCTATGGGGAAAAGTTCTTATGAGCTGCATACAGGAACACCAATGGCATGTGAGCAAACTTAGCTACCGCTACCAATGTATGGTCACCTAGCCTTCATCCAAGATCTCATGGAACTGCAGTCTGATCCTATTTATTTAGGGCATTTCTGCGCTGTCTCTCCAGAGTTCTGCTTGAGGCAGCTTACAATTATCCATATAAGCCATTAAAGTGAAACTTTTCATAAGGACCTTTTGTGGGCTTCCTTTTTCATTCCTGAATTCATCAGAGTTCTAAAAAGCCGTTATATGTTAAGTAGTAGGTCCAGTCTAACTATTTTTGCATACTATAATTTAAAATGTCAAAAATGTTTCTACATTTCTATTTAGCCATTCTTTGATCTTTCAGAAGCTTTATTCTGGTTTTCTAGAGATCTTGCTTTTCACTATTCGTTCTTATAATTTCTCCCCAGATATTAAAATTCACACAGGGTGGGCATTTAATCACCCAAATACAGGCAGGCAGAGTATGGCAGAGATAGAAATAGATGCACTTCCAATGGACTCGACCTTTCATCATGAAAATCAGACATATGTGTCTGATTTCAGATTAGAAGAGGAAAGATTATATATGTTGCACAATCTTTTCCCAGCTTCAAAAGGAAGCGAATGTGTTACTGCACAAAGATATCTACAATTCATATGGTGCAGCCTTTCTGAAGTTCATTTTTGTTCTTCTTCCTGGATAGTTATCTCTGTTCTAAGAAGGAATCACTAAGGTACTGTGCGGGTGTGATAAGATATTTCCTGAGCTCACACTGATTTGTTTCAATGAGTAACTGAAGCTGCATGGATCACACACATGCAGAAAATAAGAGCTGGGGTATAATTTACCTTCAAAATCCAAATAAGGTCTTTTAAATAAAACGTTTCACTTGACAATTAAACAACAGCTGTGGTTCCAATTCAATTTTTAAATGAACATGTGCCCATAAGACAATCTGTGTGGTTCCAGTGCCAGGAAAGGGTATGCCAAACTACATGCTATAAAGGAGATCTGTGATCCGTTTGTCATTTTTATTTTTATTTTTTTTGGGGGGGAAGCTGCCAGTTTGCTAAAACACCAGCAGGGGGAGGTGATGTTTAGTTTTTTTTTCTCTATGCTGCTTTCTTTCATGTAAATTCCCCCCTCCCTAGCCAGTATCAGCCCTGTAAGAGGGAAAAATACAGGAAGAGTCTGTGGGTTTGCAACCATCTACAGAAATGTTTCTAGCCAGCTTCCAGTGAGAAGAAAAACCCAAGAAAACCTATTCAAAGCAACTGTCTTAGGAAAAAACCAATCTATATGATCCATTGCTGATGTGGGCATAGTCACACAGTGTGGTCAAGCCACATTAATGGAAATTTTTACAACTTAGCATCACAGTTTGGGGGTGATGCTAAGTTAAACTTTCAATTACCACTGCCTTGTCTTGAGAATTACAAGTGCAAGAAATCATTATTGCTTGTTGAAATTTGGCATTGCCAGTCTGATCAATATTAGCTTAATTTCAGAAGTTTTAAAAAAGTTAAACATCAAGTATAACGGTTCCTAAGTCATTATACCTTTTGCTGGACTAAGTTCTCATTAATACTTTCTGGAAAAATATTGATTGATTTCTAGAGAAAGGTGCAGAGAACTAGGATGTAATCTGTTAATTACATCTAGCTAAGTGTTGAATTTTAAAGCAAACCAAGAAGCAAATAGATAAGAGAGTGCTCAATTAATATTATCAAGTCCTTTGTCTTTTTTCTTACAACTCTTCTGAATAT